CCGCCGCTGGGAATGGACAAGTCACGCACAACCCGGAGGAGCACCCTGGGCCGCGAGGAAGTGCGCCAGCTCGCCGACCTTCTTCGGCAGGGCGTTGGTGATCCGATTGATGACCATGGCCGGAACCCATGCGCAGGGATCATTGCACATGATGTGCACGGCCCGAGTGACCGGCGGCGCGCCCGGGTCCGAGAGGAGCTCCAGCCGCCAGCCGCCAAGGTACACGCACGAGAGAGTGCGCGCATCCTTCGGCAGGGAGGGATGCTGGCGAAGGTCATCGGCAGACGGGTCGGCCAGGAGCTCTGGCGAGCCGGCCGCCTGGCCGGCCGTCGGCAGGGTGCTCGCATCGGTGGCCTGGATCGATCGCGACACGCAGTAAAGGGTGTTTGGCTCGTTGGGCGGCTGGTACGAGCACCCGACGAAGACAAGATCGCGCTCACTGGGCGGCAGAGGTGGCATCCGCGTGTCAATGCAGGCGGCCGAAGAGCCCCAAAGGACCGAGCCATGGGGCGGCGAAAAGAATGAAAGACAGAAGGCGCGAGACCACCTCGTGCATGTATCCATGTGTGTGTAGGAGGAGAAAGAGAGAGAGGGAGAGAGAGAGAGAGAGAAGGAAAGAAAAGGAGGAAGGGAGGCGGACAGTGCCGGTCGATGCGTACATCTTGGCCACCGGCTTCAGGCGAACATGCACCAGATCCACGGCGCCAGTGGCCGTGAAGGCCCGGTCCAGGCGCTTGTAATCGTCGACCATGGGGTCCCACACCTGCCGGGCGGAGAGCGTGTCGATCGCGGCTGCCACATCCTCGGGCCGGACCCCGGGCAGGTCCACCAGCCCGGCCACAAACCGCGAGGGGTTCTTGGCCGGGGGGCTCCGCCGCAGGGCCGGCATGAGTGCCGGGTTCCGGATGAACATGCGCAAGTCCGGGTGTGTGGCCCCGGGGAGTGGCTGCCAGTGGGGCGACGGCTGCCATGGCTCCCGGCCGCGGGCCGCCCCGCGAAGCTCCCCCACCAGCAGACGCAGATCCCGCAGGGCCCAATGCCCGGCCAGGGCAAGGGACTGCTCGGCGGCATTCAGACGTGGGGGCGGCGTGCACGGCGGAAGGCCCGCGCTGCTGGCAGTCGAGTCGGGGCCCCCGCCAGCGGCGCGGGCCCCGCACTTCAGAGGATTGAGCTGCGCCTCGGACAGGCCGAACCCCTGGGCCATGGCCGCGCGAGTGGCCAGATTGATGGCGCCCAGCGAGGGAAAGGGAGCCACCGGGCTGGCCGCAGCCGCGGCCTCCTCCCTGGCCGGGCAGCCGGGCTCCTTCTCTGGCGGCGTGGGCGGTCGCTCGGCCAGTCGAGAAGTGGAGGCCGCCCCCCCCATCGGCCGCTCGAGGACCAGGGAGGCCGCGCCGGAGGAGGACGACCGGCCCAGGGCCGCCTCCACGGCCGAGGCCACCAGCAGTGCGGCCGGCGACACCGGGCTCTCCGGGGCCGAGGGGCTGCCCCCGGCCGAGCTCCGGCCGCCGATGCTCGAGGCTGCCCCCCCGGCCGGTCGAGGGGGGCTCGAGTCCTTTGGCGGGGCGTCCAGCTGGCCGGGCAGTCGCAGGTCCCGGTCATGGGCGATCGTGGGGATGAGCTGAACCGGCTGCGGGCCTCCGCCCGGGAGCTCGAGCTGGAAGTGCCAGCCCGGTCGCCGGCCCTCGCGGGCCGCCAGCCGTGAAGCGGCCATTTCCGACGCGCCAAGGCGGAAGTCCCAGCTCCCGGCCGCGGGGGGAGCCATTTCCACGAGGATCGGCCCGCGTGCACCGAGGCGCACGATGGAGAACACCGGCCGCGAGGGGGCCGGCGGGCCGGCGGACCGCGATGCGGCTGGCCCTGGCCCGGCGCTTTTCAGCACAATGTGCAGGAGCCCGGGCGCATTCGCCGGCACGGCTCCAGGCGTCAGCAGAAAGACGTAGGGCGAGGCCTACCGGCGGCGGGTTCCCGTCGGGCAATGTCCCCACAAAGCGCAGGACCCCACCGAGAGGACGAGACACCCGGGAAGGGAGAGGCGAGCCGGCGAGGTGGGATATGTCAGCCGGCAGGTGTATGCAGCTCGAGGCACGGCCCCCCCCCCCCCCCCTCACCCAGCCGGGCCCCCGGTGGAGAAAGGATGGGGGGGGTGCTTCCGTGCGGACCTGGGCTGCGAGCACAACCCCCGCCCGCCCCCGCGGGAGGGAGGCGCGTCATGCTCGATCGCCGTGGGGCGGGCCGCTCAGCACGGAGCGAGGGCCGGGATAATAATCCGCCCCGCTCTTCCCGGGCGCGCGAGCACGCCCGAGCACATATCTCCCGGCCGCCTGCCTCTTTGCTGGGCCCCTTTGCTGACTCGCCGCCTGCCCGGGGCGGGAGGAGGGCGATTCCCCGGCCCCCTGGGGGGAGGGCACTCGGGCGCGAGCGCGCTTGGACGGCTGGCATGCACTCATGTTATCGCGTGCGGGGGTCGCCGGTCTTTTCAGGCGGCGCGGCGCGGCCAGACGGGGAAGCCAGCTGCATCATCTCCCCCCCCCCCTGGACTTGGAAGGTGTTACGTCTTCTGTTCGGCGGGCTCGGGCCGGGCCACAGAAAAAGAAAACATACGGGCGCACCTCTCCCGGGCGGGGAGAGGGGGCGGGGGGCTGGGCGAACTGCGCCCACCGAGGGAGGGGCATATGCCCCAGGCCCCAAGGCACGCAGCCGGCGGCAGCTGCCACCGCGTGTGAGCGCCGCGACCGTCGGGACCTCCCCGGGGGCATACCTATCGAAATTCGAATTGTCATCGCTTTTGGCCGATTATCTCCTCGATACCTGGCCGGAGGGCGCCCGGCCCAGGACGGAGAACGCCGACGCGCCCAGGCGCCCGGGAGGTCTGGTGGGCCAGAATAGACGGATCACGTTTTGTGGTCAGGCGCCCACCGGGCGACAGGAATTGTGGGCTCCCCGGCTTGCCCGCCCGCCTCTCTCGAGGGCTGGGCCGGGGCGCCGGATCTGCCCCGGCCTGTTGTGGGGGGGGGG